GCTCGCGCAGGAGAGGCGTTACATGGGAGCGCCACGTCGCTCCCATCACCACCCCTCCGCGGCCGCACTCTGCGCCAGTTGGAGCCTCCGAGTGCTCCTCAAGGGGAGCCCCATGTAGAGAGCGTTACAATAGTCCAGACGGAGGTGACGAGGGCATGAGTGAGTGCGTAACGAGTCCCGATCCAGAAAAGGACGCAACTGGCGAATCAGGCGAACCTGATGAAAAATCCTCCCGGTCACGGCCGTCAAGTGCTCTTCTAAAGACAGCCGTGAATCCAGGAGGACACCCCAAGTTGCGAGCCATCTCCGTGGGGCCAATACTTCGCCCCCAATAGTCAGCGATGTCACCAGCTGACTATATCGGGATTCGGAAACCAACAGCCACTCGGTCTTGGATGGGTTTGAGTCTGACCTGTTTCTCCCCATCCAGATCCGTACGGCCTCCAGGCACCGGGACATCACTTCAAGGGCATCGTTGGGGTGGTCCGGGGTGGAGATGTACAGCTGGGTGTCGTCAGCGTACTGATGGTACTCCACCCCGAAACCACGGATGATCTCGCCCAACGGCTTCACATAAATGTTGAACAAAAGGGGCGAGAGGACCGATCCTTGTGGCACCCCACATATAAGGGGCCTCCGGGTCGACCTCTGCCCCCCTGTCAACACAGACTGCGACCGGTCGGAGAGAAAGGAGAAACCACCGTAGTACGGTGCCTCCCACCCCCAACCCCCCCAACCGGTGCAGCATGATACCATGGTCGATGGTATCAAAAAGCCCGCTGAGAGATCTAATAGGACCAGGATAGAGGAACAACCTCTGTCCCGAGCCCTCCAGAGATCATCCACCAACGCGACCAATGCCGTTTCCGTGCTGTACCCAGGCCTGAAGCCCGACTGGAACGGATCTAGATACGTCGTTTCATTCAGTCCAGTACCGGGGAAACTGTCGTGCCACCACACACTCCACAACCTTTCGCAACAAAGCGAAGGTTGGAGACTGGACGATAATTAGCCAATATTGGCCGGGTCCAGGGAAGGCTTCTTGAGGAGAGGTCTCACCACCCGCCTCTTTCAAGGCGGCGGGAAAGACACCCTCACTCAATGAAGCATTTATAATCCCCTGGAGGCCAGCCTCGCGTCACCATCCCGGGAAGCCAGCACTAACCAGGAGGGGCACGGTCCAACAAACATGTGGTCGCATTCAGTCTACCCAGAATCCTGTCCACGTCCTCAGGGGTCACAGAGTCAAACTCATCCCAGATAACATTCTCAGGACCTGCCTCCGTCATCCCCACTGGATCTACCCAGTCAGAGTCCAGATCTTCCCGAATCTGAGTGATTTTGTCATACAGATACTGAACAAAATCCTCGGCTCTCCCCTCCAAGGGGTCCCACCCTCGCTTCCTGGTGGAGCAGGGAGCGGGTCACCCTAACAGGGCGGCCGGGCGGTTATCTGATGACGCGATAAGAGCAGCAAGATGAGTACATTTCGCTGCTTTTATCGCCACTGGAGTAATTCTTAATATGAGATCTTACCAGTGTCCGGTCAGATTTCAGTGCGACTGGCCCTCCAACTACTCTCTAGGCGTCTTTTCTTTTCCGCGCTTCATCTCCCTCAGCTCCTCAGTAAACCAAGGAGCCAGGTGAGATCGGCGCCGGGTCAGAGGCCGCAAAGGCACGACTCGATCCAGAGCTCCAGCGGCCGCCCTATCCCAGCGGCGGCCACTAAGTCTCCAGTCGAGGCGTGAGCCAAGACCTCAGGCATTGGCCCAAGCTCCGTCTGGAACCTATCAGGTTCCATCAGCGCCTGGGGCGGTACCATCTTATCGGTTCCTCCTCCCTGCGGCGGGGAGCAGCGGTTCGAAGATCAAGGCGAAGGAGAGAGTGATCCGACCATGACAAGGGCTCGATAACTATGTCCCCTATCTCGAGATCACTCAGCCACTGTCCAGAGACAAAAATCAGGTCTCAGTGTGTTTCCCCCATGTGCGTAGGGCCATGAATTAGCTGGGTCAGATCCATACCGTCATGGAAGCCATGAACTTCCGAGCCACCTCAGACGTCTCACCCACGACGGCAGGTTGAAATCCCCCATGACCATAAAGTCTGCCGGGATTCTGCCTGCCTGGCCAGAGGCCACTCCTGGCCTTGATGAGAGATGGTGACCGCGGCTGTCGGGGCCCAGAGGACAATGAGCTCATCCTGTGTCTCAAAGGAAGAGCGCCTTCTCTGTGGGGGCACCTACTCTTTGGAACAAAATACCCCCTGGAATACGAATAATCCCAGATCTTCGCACTTTCCGACGTGCCCTGAAGACCTTTCTGTTTCAACAAGCAGGGCTAGCATAAACATCTAAATTCTATGCCAAGGTCTTAGCAGATACACCAAGTTGACTCAATTTATTATTTACTGTTTATAAAAAAAAATACTATATGCATATAAAATCTTAATCTGTTCACCGCCCTGAGTCCTTCGGGAGAAGGGCGGTATAGAAATTCAATAAATAAATAAATAAACATCCAACTGGCAGTGCCCCCCCCCATGAAAGTCCCAGCTGTTGCCCCACAGAGGAGGAGGAGTGTTCAGCAAAATGGGCCACGAGAAGCAGGCTCCAGGGGAACAGCAATGAAAGCCAAATCACCCTCTGCAAACGGGCCAAATTTGGGAAGAGAAGATAGAAAACAGGAAAGCAGATCCAAGGGCTCAAAGGAGACCCCAATGGGATTGTTTCCCCCCACCCCACCCCCAAGGCCAAGGCCTGGCAGGCCAGGTGTTGAGTGCATGCAGGCATTCTCTTCTGATACAGAGCGAACATTATCTACAGTAAATGTTTTAAATAAATAAATAGGTTTAGCCCATGCGATGTGTTCTCATTTGGGTGTCTTGTATTTTGCCAAGTCCTCTCTGGAAAGAGCGCAGAGAAGAGCCACAAAGAGGATGAGGGGGCTGGAGGCTAAAACATACAAAGAACGGCTGCAGGAACTGGGCATGGCTGGTCTAGTGAAGAGAAGGACCCAGGGGAGACAGGAGAGCAGTCTTCCAAATTTCCCCCCCCCCCCCGGTTTAAAAAAGTTTTATAGAGTTCTAATCTTTGAGGGGCTGCCACAAAGAAGAGGGGGCCAACTTATTTTCCAAAGCACCAGAAGGCAAGACAAGAAACAATGGGTGAAATCTAATCAAGGATTCTGGAATTAAGGAGAAATTTCCTAACCATGAGAGCAATTAACCAGTGGAATGGCTTCCCTTCAGAAGTTGTGGGTGCTCCACCGCTGGAGGTTTTGAAGAAGAGGTGGTCTGAAATGGCCAAGGCAGGTTTTCTGCTTGAGCAGGAGGCTGGATTAGCGATGCCCAGCCTGCTCTCCTTGAAAACTCTGCCTGGACAAGCCCCCAGGGCTGCGTTCACACACCTCTACCCCAAATAAATGCAGGACACCAGACTGTCCATGCAGCAGGCAAGGGCAAACCCTGGTTTCTGCTTCACGCCGAGGCCCAAGCAACTCAGAGGAACAGACCGGGCATCGGGTGGCATGAAAACTCCCCCACATCTCTCCCCCCCCTTCCATCTGGGGATTTTCCCATGAGACACCATGGAAGGGAGCAGGGAGACAAAGGGAGGCCTCACCCACTGTCTGGAAGCAGAAGAGGGAAACTCCAGGTGGGTCACTGGGGCCTCCTGGGGTACAGAAGAGAGGGGGGGGAAGGGGGATGGCTTCCCTGCCCCTCTTGAGTCACAGGATGGTCCCGAGGGGTTCTCAGCTCTCAGGGGCTCCTCAGGAACTGCAGAATAAGCTTTCCCTGGGCAGACAACTGGATTATTTTTTGGGTGGGTGGGGGATGTGGCCCTCCCTGTCTGCTCTCTTTCACAAAGCGTTTCTACACAGGGAAGAGAGCCACAGGGACGTCTTTTGACTTGCCATGCCAAGGCCTCCTGGGAGGGGGCTTTGCCTCCTGGAGAGGAGGGGAGGAGCCCTGGCATTGTCGGAGGTCTGAGTGGGGCTGCTGTCAGCAGAGATTGCGGCACGAGCGGTTCCTCCCCTGCGGCTGGACAGGCCGTGCTGTGCTCAGCGCCTCCAGCTCAGCATGGTGAAACCACAGGTTGCTGGGCTCCCTCCCTCCTCAGCCCCTCACACACACACACACACACACACACACACACACACACACACACTTTGAGTGCCAAATTCACAGACTTTCTGGAAAGGACACAAAGGTCCAGCAGGCTTATGCACGGCAAGGGGACAGGTGTGTTAAGAGGCTAGCGTCCCCCTCATCCTGCCCTGCCCTCCCCCTGGGACTCTGGGAGGGCTGCAGGGCAAAAGCACAGCAGTCCCAACCATCCAGGATGTCCAAGAACTTCCTGGTTAGTCTGTCCTGGCAAAAACACCCAGGTTCCTCCTCCCAGGCCTGCCTGCTGCTGGGCCCTTCATCCAGAAGAGGGGCAGCCACCCCGTGCTTGGAGGGAGGCAGGAGGGAAAGGAAGGGTCTCTGTGAAGGCAGAGCAGGGGCTGCCCCTGAGCGCTCCCCCAGGGCCTGGGCCTGCATGGGCAAAGGAGAGGCCCTGTGCCAGAATCATGCCCAGGCAGTGGGCCTCGGTTGGAGTCTTGGGCAGGCAGCCTCCTGGTCCAGCTATCAGCCCAAGGCGACCCTTTTCCTACCTAGCCCACCCCACACTCTGAGGGTCTCCATCCCATCCTGCCCTATCAGAGGCAGGGAGCGGCCAGTGGGGCAGCGCTTGAACGGGCTCTGGTGCCGCCGATGCCACCCCACGAAGGACTAAGAGACAGGGGGCAGGGAAGCCACATGCGCCGCAGGTCCTTGGCTTCTGGCTGCAGCGGCGTCCGAGCCTCGTCGAGGCGGACGGCTGCCCCCTTCGAACCCGCGGCTGGGCCCGCTGCGTTTCTCATTTCCTGTTGAGACAAGTCCAGGAAGTGGCAGCGCCCCGCCGGTTCTCCCCCTCTTCCACCGGGGGAGGGACCGCGGCTGACTCAGCCTTCCACCCCCTTCCCTCTCCCCGCGGACCATAAAGGGCCCCGCCGGCGGTCGGGCTGCAGACGGCTGTGCTCGGCTGAGTTTGGCGCTACCCGCAGGACCCGAGAGCGGAGAAGGAGAGACGAATCCGAGACCCTCGCCCACCTCGCCTCAGCAGCCATGAGGGTCCCAGCCCCGGCCCTCCTCCTCCTCCTGGCGCTCCTGCCGCTGCCCTGCTCGTGGGCCGCCCCCAGGGAAGGGAAGAGCCCCGTAGTCATCAACTTCCCCGGGGACGCGGTCAGCCGCATGACGGACCGGGAGCTGGCCGCCGTGAGTCTCCAAGCTGCGCACTCTGGCGGGTCCTCCGCTGGGCAGAGCCCCCCCCCGCCTTTCGTACTCCGCGAGAGCGAGATAGAGACCGAGCGCGGCTCTCCCTCCGGGGCGCCCGGCGCTTTAACTCGCGCTGCGCTCCGCTCGCCCGACCCAGGTCAGATGGCGCGAGTGCGGGCGCCGTTGCGGGAAGCCAGCCCCGCCAGCGACTCCCAGCCGGCTCTTCATTCGGTGCCAGTGCCTGACTGGGGACCCCGGGGATCCGCTCACGGGATGAGGGTTGGGGTCAAGGCCAAGACAGGAGATCAACCAAGCTCCAGCCCCGGCCCCGTCCGCCCAGCCGCCGCTTGGCTCCCTTCCCCGGCCGAGAGCCCCCCCGCTAGCGCCCGCTCCTCTCTCTCCGCAGCGCTACCTCCAGCGTTACGGGTACTTGACGGCGACCAACCCCGGGGGGCAGGTGAAGCTGGAGACCCCCCTCAAGGCGATGCAGAAGCAACTGGGCTTGCCGGAAACAGGGGAGCTGGACGCCCCCACCCTCACGGCCATGCGGGCGCCCCGCTGCGGAGTCCCGGACATGGGTCGCTTCCAGACGTTCCAGGGCGACCTCAAGTGGGACCACACAGACCTCACCTACCGGTGAGCGAGCGGGCACCTTCGGCGGGTTCACGGCCCGCGTGGCAGACTGCAAGTGGAGGGGACCCCAAGATTCCTGGGGAGGGCAGCGGATTGAGGAAGGCTGCCCTCCCCTCAGAGGCAGACCTGTACCCTGCCAAGGGGGTGTGTGCAGGCGCGCGCGGACGTGCGTGAGGAGGGGGCTGGGGGCAGGGCTTCCTTCGGGCCGCCTCTGAGCCTCCGCTCTTTGGCAGGGTGGTCAACTATTCCCCGGACCTGGACGGCTCCGTCATCGAAGATGCCTTCGCCAGAGCCTTCAAGGTGTGGAGCCAGGTGACGCCCCTCACCTTCACCCGCCAGCAGGAGGGGGAGGTGGACATTCTCATCCAGTTTGGAACGGGAGGTGAGTTGGAGGGGAGGAGAGGGTTGGGGGGCAGCTGGGATCGCCCCTCCTCTCCTGTCTGGAGGCTTGGAAGAATTCCTGCTCAGATTGTGACCTCTCCCCCACCCCCGCACAGAGCATGGTGACGGCTACCCTTTTGATGGCAAGGATGGACTTCTGGCCCACGCCTTCCCTCCTGGCAAAGACCGGTTCAGCGGGGATGCCCATTTTGACGATGACGAGTTCTGGACGCTGGGCACGGGCATTGGTGAGTTGGCCCCCTTGCTGGCTGGTGCTTCTCTGGGCGCTGGAGCCTTGCCCGCCTGATGCCCAGTTCTCCTCTTCTCTGAGCAGTGGTGAAGACCTACTTTGGCAACGCCAACGGGGCTTCCTGCCGATTCCCCTTCACCTTTGGGGGCAAAAGCTACTCCACCTGCACCACCGAAGGGAGAGAAGATGGGCTGCCCTGGTGTGCCACCACCCCCAACTTTGACCGGGACAAGAAATACGGCTTCTGCCCCAGCGAACGTGAGTAGCCAGGACTCAGAAAGCAGGAAGGGGGGGGGATGGAATGGGATGGGGTAGGGTAGAATAGGCATAGACCTCGGAGGTCTTGTAGTCCAACGCCCTGCTCAAGCAGGAGACCCTAGACCAGTGGCCTCCAAAGCCTTGGGCACCAGGGACCAGTTCCATGGAGAGAGGTTTGTCAGTGGGGTCTGGAGGGGCTCTGTGTGCTTTGTGTGCTGCCAGATGGGGCTTCGCTTGTTGGTGTGTCCCAGTCTCTGGCATGCCCTGGCCCAGTGCGGCTCCACAGACCTGGGATTGTGGACCCCGTCCTAGACCATTTCAGACAAGTGGCAGTCTAATGTCTTCTTGAAAGACTCCAGTGATTGATCAGGACTGAAGCCCTAATTGCCCCGCAGCGTGTGGGGAGATGGGGGGGGGCGTAACCAGAAGGGGCTCCTGGGTTTGGAAAGCTGAGCTGCACAGTCCCTCCCAGGGGAGAAGCGAAGAGCAAGGGGGGGGGAGCAAGCAGGCCCCCACTGACAATCTAACCAGGGCAAGGGGGCGGGGGGGGGCTCTCAAAGAATTCCATTCAAGCAGTTTGCTTCTGAGACCCTGCTCCTTGTTTACTTGTGAGCCGCTTAGGAGTTGGGTGGCATATAAATTTAAGAAGTGAATAAATAACAAGGGGAACTGAGCTGCATCCCGAGGAAGACAATGAGGGAAGTCTGGTTCCCTGCAGTTTTTGGTGAATTCCTTTTTCCTGGTGGCTTTGCTAGTCCTCTTCACTTACGACGGGAACAGCGACGGGGAGAAGTGCGTGTTCCCCTTCGTCTTCGAGGGCAAATCCTACCAGGGATGCACCACCGATGGGCGCACAGACGGCTACCGCTGGTGCGCGACCACTGCCAACTTTGACCAGGACAAGAAATACGGCTTCTGCCCAAATAGAGGTACGTGAGACCAGGGGCACGTGGTGTTTGGGACAGGGTGCGGTGTGGGGAAAGCACTCTGCATGGGCTCAGGGACACCCTCAGTCCTGGCATTACCAAGGGGGGCTGCAGCTGCAGAGCCCACAGACCAGCCGTGACAGTCTCACGTTCAGCTTCAGGGTCTGCCCCCTGGCTTCAGAGGGTTCTGCTTGGTCGTTGCAACAGCTGGGGGCCAAAGCTGACCTCTCTCTTCCCCCCCCCAGACACGGCTGTGATTGGAGGGAACTCCCAGGGCGAGCCCTGCTCCTTCCCCTTCAAGTTCCTGGGCCAGACGTACAGCAGCTGCACCACGGAGGGACGCACCGATGGGAAGCTCTGGTGCGCCACCACCAGAGACTACGATGCGGACCAGAAGTGGGGTCTTTGCCCTGACCAAGGTATGGGGGAAGCTCCTTTCACTGCCCCCCTGGGAAGCTGGTGAGGAGGGTACTCAGCACATCCACCCACTGGGCATGAATAGCTCAGCCATTAATAACGCCCGAGTGCCGTGCAAGGGGGTAAGCTCCCATTCCTTGCTCCAGCTCCTGTTTGAAAGCAGGCAAATGTGAGTAGATAAATAGGTACCATTTCAGTGGGAAGTTAGCAGCATTCCATTCGCTTTTAGTGTATCCCTTTGCTGGCCAAGAAAGAGAGAGGCGCTCCATGCCTCAGAGCCAGACATGACTGGGCAGGGGAAAACCTTACTTTTGCACGCATGCACGCACACGCACCAAGTGTGTTGGGAAGACTCTCTGGCAGTCTAGGGGAAGGGCCGTGAGGGGAATCGATGACCCAGGTGCCACAGGGATTGAGGGCCCCCGACGAGGCCTCCAAGGCAGGGCCCCCTCGGTCCACTCTCTGCTGTTGCTTCGCACCCCCAGGTTACAGCCTCTTCCTGGTTGCGGCACATGAGTTCGGCCACTCACTGGGCCTGGAGCACTCCAGCATCCGGGAAGCCCTGATGTACCCCATGTACACCTACCTGGCTGACTTCCAGCTGCATTCGGACGACGTGGCCGGAATCCAGTCTCTCTACGGTGAGCAGGGGGTGGGGGGGCTGCCAGGGGGGTTTCCTGGGAGCAGAAGGCAGGCTGTCCACCCTCCCCAAGGCCTGACACAGGCAGCCCTCTGGCCCTGCCCGGGAAGCTCCGGAAGGAATTGGGGTGGCTCAGGGCTGGGGGTCTGTTCACACACTGTGCCCTGAGTGGCCCTTTCCATGAACAACATGAAGCCCAAGTTCCTTTACCATGATGTGGAAGGACCCCTGGAAGTCCTCAGGTCCACTAGCAATCCCCACCATCAAAGGACCCCCTCTTGGCTCCACTTGAGCTGTTTCCGCACCAGGGAAGGGGCTCCTCCGACATCCCCTCCCACCGCCAAATCAGTGCCTCTGATGCTTGTGCTGCTCCTCCTTCTCCCCCCCACTAGGTGGAGGATCAGGCCCTCAGCCCACGGCGCCCAGCCCCCCTTCTCAGGCCCCCACTGAAGCTGAGGACTCCTCCACCGTGGATGATGGCTCTTCTGTGACCGAGACCCCCGCTGTGGACGGCCGGAGCAGCGCCTGCCGGGCGGAGGGCTTTGATGGGGTGGGCGAGATCCAGAAGGTGCTGCACTTCTTCAAGGACGGGTGAGAGGCTAGGCAGGAGGGGGGCTGGGCAGAGCTGGGGGCCAGGGTCTCCTTGCGCCCACAGAGGGCCTGGAAGGACTCGGGCGTTGGGCACCGCAGGGGAAAGTGAGGTCAGGCTGAGCTGCCTTTCCTGCTCAGGCAATACTGGCGAATGTCGAGCACCGGGACCGGGCCCCTGGAGGGCCCCCTGCGGATCCAGAGTACCTGGCCGGCCCTCCCAGATGTCATTGACGCGGCTTTCCAGGACCCTCTGACCAAGAAGCTCTTCTTCTTCTCGGGTGAGGCCCCTCCCCACCCTTACGTGGGCGGCTGTGGGCCTCAGGAGCCCCCCTGCCTCTGTCCCTGCTGAGAGGCCAGGAAGGGCCCTTGGAGCCGGCTCCTCTGCCTGGGGAGGGGCCCCTGCTCAGCCACCCACCCACTCCTCCTTCTTGCAGGCCAGCGCTTCTGGGTGTCCCAGGGGCCACGGGTGGTCGGCCCTCGGAGCCTTGACAAGCTGGGCATCGGAAGAGACGTGCGCAAGATTGTGGGGAGCCTGACACGGAAGCAGGGGAGGGTCCTGCTCTTCAGCGGAGATCAATTCTGGAGGTACAGGGGCCTGTGAGGGGAGGAGAACATGGGGGGCCCTCTGCCCAACCCCCTTCCTTTGGGAGCCAAAGGCTGGATGAGGGGACAGAGGCTGCTCAGCCTCCAGGAGCCCCAAGCAGCAGCCTCCCAGGGGGACTCCTGCATCCTCAGCCAAACCCCCCCCCCCGGCTGCTTTGACTGGTCTGGCCTGGCTGTCTGGGCCGGGAGGGAGGCTGCACCCCACAGGTAGATCCAGGGAGAAGGAAAGCAGAGCTGGGATTACCAACCTCTGCATGGGAACAGGCACCCTCAGGGGCATCTAGAGGGCATCTTGAGGGACCTTGCTAACTTTTCCTTCCCCCCCCCAGGCTGGATGTGAAAAAGGAGCAGGTGGACAAGGCGTATCCCCGCTACATTGACAGCCTCTTTCCTGGGGTCCCCATTGATGCTAACTTGGTCTTCCAGTACAAAGGTAAGGGGGGCAGGAGGGGGAACAACCTCAGGTGGGGCCCAGACAGCCCCCCCTCATGGGTCCTCTGCAGAGGGTCTCTGCTGTGCAAGGGGGCAGCCCAGGAAGCTCCTCCCTGGTCCAGCAAGCCGCAGCGGGTAGGTGGGGCTACTCTGATGGGGCTGCAGAAGACAGATGACCACTAGAGGGCAGCAGCAGGCAAGAACATCCCTAACCCTGGCTGGCCCATTGGGTGGTTCTGCCAAAGCAGGAGAGGGAGGGGGGGCTGCAGAAGAGGGAAACCCACCTCGCTCATGTAGGGGACACAGACAGACACAGAGACTCTTAGGTGGGGGCTCTCCTGGGAGGGAGGGAGGAGGAGGGGGGCATGCCTGAATGGCTGAACTCAGTGGATAGAGCCTCCCCACCGCCCACCAGTGCAGAGGAAGAGGCTCATTGGGAGACTCTCCAGGGCGAGGACCACAACTGCTGTGGGGGGGGAGGGACCTTGCCTCCCCTTCCTCTCCTCCTCTTGGTGCTCAGGGCCTGGAGACTCTTTCTGTGCCCCCTCACCCTCCCTGACTCCCTTCTGGGAGGAGTCTGCCGGCCCACATGCACCTGGGTCAGTGGGGGAGCTGGTGGGCCCCCCAGGGCCTTTCCCTCCCCCCCAAGGGAAGAAGGCAACTTTGGGGGACAAGTTGAGAGGACGGTGAGGGGGCGGCTTAGTGGTTGGCCCCGTCCAAGGACCGCAGGGACGATGAATCTCCCTTGACCCCCAAGCTCTGAGCCCAGTCTGGGAGCTCTGGGTCTGGTTAGGGCTTCTCCCTCCCTCCCTCCCTCCCTCCCTCCCAGGAGAGATTCCCAGGGGCCTCGGCAGTAATGGGGGTGCCACCTTTGAACCAGGAGGAGGTGTCCCCTGGGGGTCCCTGCGATTCCCTCCCTGTGGCCGCTCGCCTTCACCAGCCGTTTCCTCTCTTCCAGGGAGGTTCCACTTCTGCCGCCACCCCTTCTGCTGGCAAATGACCCCCCGCTACCAGGTGACCCGGGTGGGGTACTTCAAGCAGGACGTCCTGAAGTGCCCGGAACAATGAGACACATCCCACCTGCACCCTCTGCTTCGAAATGCCTCTGGACGCAGGGGCATCGCTGCGCACCGTTGACCCCTCCCTGGCTGGCCAGCTGATGGGGGCGGCCTCTCTGCTTGGTGGGCCAAACGCTGCCCTGGCTCCTCGGGCCCCCCCAGCCTCCGGAAGACTTGCCAGGAAGAGTGGGGGGAGAGTTCTCCTCAGCCGTGGTCCCCATCCACTGAATGGAGTGGAGAGCTCCGGCCACAAGCCCTTCCCCCGGCCTCCGTCACTTGCTCAGGAAGCAGCCAACAGAGAGAGGGGGGAGACTTCAGGGGGGGGCACTCTTTGCAGCTTTGCGACTATTTGTGATTGAAAGGGGGGGCTCTCATCTGCTCCCCACTTTGCTCCCTCTTGTCCTGGAATCCAAAGCAGCCTCTGCCTTTCTAGGAGCTGCTTCACAGGAGGGGGGGGGGAATTTTGATATCTGGCTTTAACAGAATGAGAGAGTTGGAAGGGACCTTGGAGGTCTTCTAGTCCAGCCCCCTGCTCAAATTGCCCTGGGCTGAAATTACTCCAAAAATGTGGGGTAAGGAAGGTGACAGAGGAGGAGCCTTAATTGCTTTAAATCCGTATGGTGTGGAGGTTTTAGGTCCTTTTGCCCAGGCGGCCAAGAAGCTTCGATCGCTTCTGAGCAAACTCTCTGATTCCAGACTAAATTCAGGGCTTACTTTCCCCTTGCTTGTTGGGGGGCTGATGCCCAACTTCTGTCCCGTCTCTCTCTCATCTCCTCATTTTGGGGGAGGACCTGCTGGGGTTCGCTCGGAGCATTTTCTGGGTGGCTGTAAATTGGGCATCGTATCCCTGGTCTTATTTTTTGGAAATAAAAGTTTTGTTTTGTTTTATCTCTTGCGTGTTTTCTGTCCATTTGGCTGTAACTGCTTACTGGGTGGGGGGGGGAGGGGGGGAGAATAAAAATCATGCCGGGGACTGTCCGTAATATTTCAGGAGGTTCGTGCCAGTCTTTGGGGGAGGCCCTTTTCCATTCTGGGCCTCGCATGGAAGGAGCTGCAGCTCACAAAAGCCACAAGGCTCTTGCCACAGAGAGGCCCCATTTTTAATTGTAAAAAAGAATTCCAGCCATGCAAACCAGAAAACTTTTATGTTAAATGGCTCCATAAATTGTGTTGCAGGTCGTCCACAACCTACAACCGTTCATTTAGTGACCGAAATTACAAGAGGACGACCATTGCAGCATCCCCCGGGTCACGTGACCAAAATTCAGCTGCTTGGAAAGTGACTCATGTTTATGACGGTCATAGTGTCCCGGGGTCACGTGATCCCCTTCTGCGACCTTCTGACGAGCAGAGTCCATGGGGAAGCCAGATTCACTTAACAACCGTGTTACTAACTGAACAACTGCAGTGGTTCACTTAACAACGGTGGCAAGAAAGTTGTAAAATGGGGCAAAATTCACTTAACAAATGTCTCGCTGAGCATCAGAAATGTTGGGCTCGATTGTGGTTGTAAGTTGAGGACCCCTGAAAAGGCCCGGTGAAACCCAAGAGAAACTGCGCTTAACCCATCGACTCTGTGGCCCCCAAAGGCCACCGAGGGAGCTTCTTTCCTCCGCTGCCAGACTTCGCTCTTCCTTCTGCCCCCCTCCCCCTCCCACGCAGCTCTTCAGGGCCGCAGCCCCGGAGTGGCTCAGGTGGGCTGGGACATCAGGCCCACCAGGCACGCGTACCGAAAATCATATGAAATACCGGAGTAACATCTGGGTCTCCTGGGGGTCACCCCAACAGATGGACACCTCCCTGCCCCCCTGATCAGGGTGGCAGTGAGATGACAGAGGCCAAGGAGCCCCCCGCAGATGGCAGAATGACTCAATGGTCCATCTTGCCCAGCAGACGGACTTCAGCCAAGCTGCTGTCCATCTGGAAGCCCTGCCCTTCCTGAAGCCCTGGGATTCAGTCCCGCCCCCTCAAACTGCCCTGCAGCTCTGCTCCTGGGGGAGGCAAACCCATCCCCCCCGGGCCCCCAGAGGAACTCAGGAAAAGGACAGTAGGGAGAGTGGGGCTCAAGGACAGAGGTCCTCTCCTTCCACCAACCTCCACTAGTGTCACCCACCTTCCTGTTGGTCGAGGCTGGGGGTTCCGTGGAGGGAGAAAGGCTTCGATGGGTGCAGAGCTGTTTGGATAGTCAGGTGGGTGGCATAAAGGTGAAAAGGGAAATATAAACAGGGCCTCCAGCAGAAGCTCCGGATCACCCCAACGATGCCCTTGAAGTGATGTCCCAGTGCCTGGAGGCCGTACGGATCTGGATGGGGAGAAACGGGCTCAGGCTCAGGCTCAACCCATCCAAGACCGAGTGGCTGTGGTTTCCGACGTCCCGGTATAGCCAGCTGGCGCCATCGCTGACTATTGGGGGCGAAGCATTGACCCCCACGGAAAGGGCTCGTAACTTGGGCGTCCTCCTGGATTCACGGCTGTCTTTAGAAGAGCACTTAATGGCCGTGACCGGGAGGATTTTTCATCAGGTTCGCCTGATTCGCCAGTTACGTCCCTTTCTAGATCGGGACTCGTTACGCACGGTCACTCATGCCCTCGTCACCTCCCATCTGGACTATTGTAACGCTCTCTACATGGGGCTCCCCTTGAGGAGCACCCGGAGGCTCCAACTGGCGCAGAGTGCGGCCGCGCGGTGGTTATGGGAGCAACATGGAGCTCCCATGTAACACCTCTCCTGCGCGAGCTGCACTGGCTCCCGGTGGTCTTCCGGGTGCGCTTCAAGGTTTTGGTTACCACCTTTAAAGCACTCCATGGCTTAGGACCTGGTTACTTACGGGACCGCCTGCTACCACCAACAGCCTCCCACCGACCAGTACGCTCCCACAGAGAGGGGCTCCTCCAGGTGCCGTCGGCCAAACAATGTCGACTGGCGGCCCCTAGGGGGAGAGCCTTCTCTGTGGGGGCACCGACGATCTGGAATGAGCTCCCCCCAGAGATACGGAGGATCCCGGATCTGCGCACCTTCCGCCGCGAGTTGAAGACGCTTTTATTTCATCAAGCGGGCCTCGCCTAAATTTTCTCCCTTTTAAATGAAAATTTTAAATTTTTAATTGTATTTTAAAATTATGGGTATTTTAAATTATGGGTATAAATTCAGCCAAATTTATTTAATTTATTTTATTCGATTTTAAATTTTGTATATTTATGTGTTTTATTTCATGGCTGTACACCGCCCTGAGTCCTTCGGGAGTAGGGCGGTATAGAAATTCAATAAATAAATAAATAAATAAATAAATTGGCAAGCGGGGAGATCAAAGCCCCTCCAGTCCTGGAGCTGGAAAGAGCCCCTTGGGCAGCCATGGTGAACCTTTTGGGCTCAGGGTGTCAAAAATCCAGAAAACGCCTGACTTGAGTCTGCTGCTCTCTCCCACCCCCCTTCTCTCTCACCCACACAAGGGAAAGAGTTGTCTGTCTCCTCTCCCTGGACAAGGGCACTCAGCGTGTTGGTGAAGGCTGGCATGCCACCCCAAGGATTGTGGGGTGCCCCCATTGACACGTGTCTCCTAGGGCCACCATCCCTGCCCCAGAGAACCATCCCTGGTCACTGCAGGAAGCCAAAGGAAATGTCCAGCCTCCCCTTAAACCCATTCAGGGTAGGAGAGCCCAGCGCCTCCCTGGGAAATCGCATCCCCCCTCCCCATCCAACTTCTTTTCGTGTTCAGCCAGAATTTTCCTCCCTGGTGCTTCGGCCCTTCATTCCCCGGCCTGCCTTCTGGAACGAGAGGGAGGAGAAAATGGCCCCCAAGATGCCAGCTGATCCGTGTCTTTGAGCTTTGCTCAGAACTGATGCCAAAGTGGCTGAGGCTTCCTTTGCCCATTTCCAAAGAGAAGGGTAACATCTGCCCTCCTCTCCTTCTCTGCCACTCCTCCAATGACTCCGATGCCCAGAGAGATGCTGGCAAGATCAGCCCTGATTTTTCCCTTTCCCTGGAGATCCCCGGATCTCATTTCTATTGATCTCAGCCCGAGTCCTGCCCTTCAACTCTTCCCGGGACATCGAGCTGCTGGCTGGCAAGGACGGGCACTGAGGAATCCTGCCATCTCTTGCTATCTTAGTACTTTGTCACCATCTCTGACTGGCTGCCATACAGCCCCCTCTTTTCCTCCTTTTATTTTGAAAGTCCCTGTGGGTCACTCTTGGCATCCCTTGCTAACCTCGGCTTATTGGCGGTAAAAAGGCTTATCACCCACAAAGTGATATCTTAACAGAATGCAAACCAAGAATATGGAAGAGAGGAGAGGAGAGGAAAGGAAGGGAAAAAGAAGGTAAATAAAGATGGTGATAACCATTATTCAGTCAAATGAGAATTTTTGCCTTCAAGAGCTCCTGGAGCATTCAGAGAGATTGGCTGACCCTTAGTTCAAACATGGAAGTTTTCCCTCAAGCAGCACCGGGAAAACGATGCCGGCTCCTGTCTCTATTCCTGACTTCATGTGGATGACCAAAAGCTGCTCAAGCAGGGAACCCCCTACCATTTCAGACGAATTTGCAGACGACATAAGCTGGCAGAAATAGCCAACATCCCAGAAGATAGGCTCAGGCTGCAGAAGGATCTTGACAGACTTGAACACTGGATCCAGTGGAGAGAAAAGCAAAGCTTTATACTTAACAAGAACCAAATGTACAGATACGGATTAGGTGAAACTTGGCTCAGTAGCAGTAACTGCATGAAGGATCTTGGAGTCCTAGTGGACAATCACCTAAATAGGAGCCAACCGTGTGCTGAAGCCTCCAAAATAGCCAATGCAATCCTAGGCTGCATTAACAGAGGAACTGAATCAAGATGACGTAAAGTACTTTTTAAACACATTGTTTTGATCTTTTTTCTCGTTTCCAGCCAAGAATATCTTGTTTCCTCATCCTCTCGTCTGCTTGCATATATTTCATTAATTTTATCTTCCATGTATCATTTTAATCCTTTCTCTTACTTCTGTTCCAAATAAAACGCATAAAGTTCTTCCTTCTCTTGTTCCTGTGCTGCTGTGTTCTTTTTAAATTGTTATTGTACCAATTATAAAAGTTCCATTATAGTTTCCCCTTCTTTTCACCAAAGTCAAATTGCTTGCAGACGAAAAAAAAAAAAAAAACCTCCTCCACAAAGTCCCACAACTGTTATCTGTAGAATTCACAACTTTCCAAAACAAAAAGCAAGTTACAATGTACAACCTCCGTGCTTTCGGCGCCGAACTGAATACATGGCTTTTTCAGCAAATTCCCTGATCTGTTATGAGATTTTAGTTGTTGGGGTTTTTACATTTGGATGTTTTTAGTTTTATTTATTGTTATATGTTTTTTTATTCTGTGAGCCGCCCCGAGTCCTACGGGAGAAGGGCGGCATAGAAATCTAAGAAATAAATAAATAAATAAATAAATACAATGTCCTTTTTAAACCAGAAGATGTCTCTCTACAAAAATTTAGATAATTATGCTGCGATTGACAGCAAAAACAAAAATGATTATACTATTTTACTAGACAGTAAAATTTAGATGATTATGCTGCGATTGACAGCAAAAACAAAAATGATTATACTGGATTTGACAGTAAAATTTAGATGATTATGCTGGGATTGACAGCAAAAACAAAAATGATTATACTGGGTTTAACAGTAAAAACAAGGATGATTTTGTTGGGAACAATAGTAAAAATAAATGATTATGCTGGGTTCAACAGTAAAAATAAAAATGATTATGCTGGGATTAAAAGTATAAGATGAGGATGAAGATGAAGATGATGTTCTGTGATAAATAATTAAAGATGATTATGTTGGGATTATTAGTAAAATTAGGATGATTATGTTGAGTTAAATAGTAATGAAGATGATTTGCTGTGAGT